TTTTGGCGCCAGTATATAGGTATGAATGCAACCTACTATATCGATAATGCAGTCATAGTTCGGGTTAGACGCCAAAGGCCGCGCCACTAACACAATCTTCAAAAATTAACGTTGATCGGTCTCTCTCACTTTAGTTATTAGTGTTCTCTCTGTATTAAACTAGTGACATCAATAATATTATTTACTGTCATATTGATATTGCCAATCATGGTGTTATTTGAAAGGTAATAAGGTAATTTATTTTTAGGATAGGTACATGGTTAAGTACAATAATTTTTAAAATTCATTGTGTGTTTTTATAGTTAGACGTAGATAAAATATTGTACCATACACGCGAGTTAACTCCATTAAGATACTTATGTGCTTACAACTTTCACACGCGTATCTTAATGATGCTGATAACTCACTTGTATCGTAAATAACTATTATTTAACTAAGTGCTTTAACATCATCCAACTAATGTACTTGTCTTCTATAATACTTTTAGCTAATATAAACTTCAAAATAAAAGTAAAAAAGAAAGTAAAGCTCGACAAGCTTTGTAACAGCGTCATTTAACGTGCATTTTCTAATGCAAATTACCTCGTCCCATTCTAAATCTCCTTTTGTAATATGACATCGCATTCTTTAGCTAAAAGCATTCCACGTTTAAAATTAAGAGTTCGCTAGGTCAAGTATATTAGAAAAAGCAGCATCTATTTTTCATCTTAGTCTTTTTAAATTCTAATGAGGGTAGTGAACAAGTTTAACATTATTTTGATATTTTAATATACATAGAAAACATTGTTTTATGAGAGTCAGTATTAAAATTATGTGAAGAATATACAGAGTGAGTCTTAAATAAGTGCAAATATGTATAGAGCTGATAGATCTCGGTAAAAGAAACATATATATTCTCTTTACCGTTTTTCAAATAAGTCCAAAATAACCGAGTTATTTTACTTTGAAAATAACAAATAGTTTTTTTTTGCAAAAATTTTGAGAAATACTGAATTCTTTTCTGCCCTTTCTTTCTTGTAAATTTAGTCTACCACCTATGTTGCCATATTATCAAAATATTAGCATTTTTAACTAAAAAATAAAAAAAAATCAAGTTTATTTTCTCGATAATATCAAATTTATAAAAAATAATCGTGAAAAAACCTTACAATAAGACTCACCCTGTATAGAGTAGATTGAATGAAAACATATAAAGCAACAAGTAAAAAAGGGAAACAGTAGTTTATTTGATTGAAAACAATTTATAGAAAGACTGAATCTAATAGTAATATGAATATGAAACAATAAATGTTATGGTACAATTACTATAAGGGCATTTTTTCTAAAATGTAAAATGTAAACATTAAACTGGAGGAGTACATTAAGAAAAAAAATCAAAATAAACTAAATAAAAGACAGAGCATTTTCTTATAATAAAATTTTGATTTTATTTAGTGTAAGATAATAATGAAGAAATATATAAATTCATTTCTATTGGTTCAGAATAAATGTTCATAACTTCATTGCACTTTTCTTTTTTTCTAATTAATTAAAATGGTACAACTCAAAACATAATTATTATATTTATAGATAAAATTTTCTTGAAATAAATCGAAATCCAAAAACAATAATTTTATTATTATTCAATTTCAAACAGCTTTAACAAAAAATATTGAAGCTGTTTGGTTTTATAACATAATAATCCTTAATACTCTCAGTATAATAACCACTTAGTTATTAATCGCATTTAATTAACTAGATAATTATTAAACTAGAGAGGAAATTGTTGAAAAGTCATAAATTATTACAATGAACTTGTTAAATGTTGAAATCGGCATTATATTTTCTTCAGAAAAAAAGAATGACATGATATATTTCTTCTGTAATTACGGAAACCATGCAAGTAATAATGAATTGTCAAATTTGAGGCATGAAGACTGATTTTTCATAGTGTTTTCTGTTATAGTGTGTATCTCTAAGGAATCAATATTTCCATATACCGTATGATCGAATAAAAACGGCGTCCAGTTGGCTTGGAAATGAACATCGTTGACATTCCCTATATAATTTTACATATAAAATGACAGCGATTTTCATTTCATAGCCATCGCTGACGCCGTTTTTTCTCGATCATACGGTACAGGTATTACATGTTTCCTAACAGTAATTTACCTTAATTGTGACCTTTGCTTCAAAAAATGGTATCAAAAATGTCAATATATCTGAACCATTTTCGGAAAAATAAAGATAGTTGATTATCAATACTTACATATTAGCTGACTTACATATTATGACATTTTTACAATACAAAAAATACCCTATATTGATTTTGACATACATTCTCTTAATAAAAGAACTTGTCCAGCAATGTTACTTTTTTCAGCAGATGAATAATAATAATAAAAAAGTTTTAATGTATCAAACCAAGATTTTATACAGGGTGTTTCAAAAAAAATGTCTTAAATTTAAAAAAAAGTAAAAATGTGGAGAAATGACAATCATAAATAGACAAATTATGTAGACATTGTTTCAAAAAACATGCGCTTTCTCTCCTCGGGAGATTCCTCGCGTAAAAATAAGATTTATTTTTCATATCAACATAGGTCCAATTCTGTTTTGTTTGGTAGCTGCAAGATAATTGCAAAAGACTTAATTTTAAAATGTTTATAGGAACTTTTTTTCATATTTTTTGATGAGGAATCAATGGATACTTATTTAACACTGTCGCAAGTTAGTGATATTAATTTTTTAAAGGATGTTATTAGACTTGAATTAATGCAAATTAATACAATAATTATTGTGTTTACCTCATGAAGGAGGCCGAAATCGACAAAATATCACGAGACAATTTTTAATCGGCATTAAACTGTTTATACTATTTCGCTAACAAGAGCAAAAAGTCAGTGGCGTACATGCATTTTTTAGAAAAATATTCCAGTGATAACTCATATGCACGTCCGTGGCGGATGTGTCGAGAATTTTTTAGCATTAAAATATGTCACACTTCTCTCAAAATTTTATTCGAATCGCTAAAAATACTAAGAAGAAAATTATAATAAATAAAAAAAAACTTTACTTGCCTGTAGCTACGAAACAAAGTAGAATCGGACATATTTATGTTGATATGAAAAATAAATCTTATTTTTACGTGAGGAACCTCTCCACGAGAGATGGCACCTGTTTTTGGAAACAACCTGTATAATTAATTAAAATCTTTTATTTAAATTTATTATTATGAAACACATAATTTCTGATAATGCTGGAATGATTTTTATAAAAAGAGAATTAAAAATAAATACAGTACATTTCTAATATCTCTTTACATTTAGTTTAATAATATATTTTGAGTGATTTTCTATTCATAATTTTTAATGTTTTTTTTTTATTTTTCCAAAAAATATCCAGAGATGTTATAAGTATGACTTTTCTTTTATTTTACTGAAATATAATGTTAAACTATATCATATTACAATTCTTTTTATAAAAAATAGACACTGCTTTGCACGTGTACGCTTTATAAAGCATCGCTTTAAAACAAACGCTCCGGAAATTAATAATTTAAAATTATGCCTTTACGCGTTTGATCTTCAGCTTTAATATAAATAATTAACCAGCAGACACTGTCACTCTAGTTCCTTCTTAGTTTATTAGATCTCGTTAGCAAGTATACCTACTCTTCGTTTCAAACGTGCCAGGCGTTTGAAAATTATGCTCAAGGAAAGATAAATTTGCAAAAGCAGTATTTTGTTTATTATTTCAATAAACCTCGTATCTAAATAAGACACAGTATCCATAAAATATTATGATATAGGTATTTTATAGGCGCTGTGGAATTGGAATTTATCGCACGTGGATATTGAATGCAAATATTTTATTGCTTATAAAGCAAAATATATATATTTTCTCCATCCGGACGAAAAATGGACACCTTTTATAACTGGTAGTATAGTTCAACCCCAGAATGAGGTTTGAGAAGAATGAGTCTTTTTTTTGGGAAAAATAAATTGAAAATTCGTAACGTTTTGAAAATTTATTTGGATTTTTTTTAGAATTTATTTAAAAAACATAATTACTTGATAATATGGCAACATAGGTAGTAGATTAAATTTACAGAAAATAAAATTTTAGAAAAAAATATTTTTTTTGGAAATTTTCAAAGTAAAATAACTTCGTTATTTTGGACTTATTTAAAAAACGATAAGGAGAAAGTATGTTTCTTTTATCGAGATCTACCACCTCATAAAATACTTGCACTTATTTCTGGGACACCCTGTATCTTGTGTTTTAGGGGAACGATTTTGATAATGTTTTTACCAATTTGTAGGTAAATTATTTGACTATTTAGTACCTCTTTCTAAATTATCTGTCAATTATACGAGGGAACACAAAATGTTGTTATTTTGGTTAAAGTTTGGAACACCCTGTGGAATATGTTAAAACAGCAAGAAATTTTAAAATAATTTTAACATCTAGGAACATTTTTTCTCGATAGTTAGCTAATTTTCTCAAGTGACTTATATCACGTTTAAGGAATTATACAGGGTGTCCCGGAAATAAGTGCAAGTATTTTAACTGGTAGTATAGTTCAACCCCAGAAACACATCTATAAGGTTTTTTCCCGAAAAAAAAAATTGAAAATTCGAAATTTCTTGAAAAATTTTTTGGAATTTTTTTAGTTTTTAGTTAAAAAACATAATTTCTTGATAATATGGCAACATAGGTATTAGATTAAATTTACAAGAAAGAAAATCCAGAAAAGATGCAGTGGTTGTCAAAATTTTAGCAAAAATTATTTTTTTTAGAAATTTTTAAAGTAAAATAACTCCGTTATTTTGGACTTTGAAATTGAAATATGTTTCTTTTATAGAGATCTACCACCCCTTAAAATACTTGCACTAATTTCTAGGGCACCCTGTATAGTTTAATTCCTTAAAACTGTGCTTATATGTTATAACTGGCGAGTGCCATACAACTATACAATTTTATCCAACAGCAGAACTGTTTCATGTCCTATCTTTAAAGAATAATTGATTTAAAAGGCTTGATATGTAGACCAACTACCAGTTGTTATCAGGGTGCGTTTATGTTACTATGCAATATAGATGTGCGCTTTTTTTGTAAATAATAAATAGCATTGACATTAAAACATCATTTAGATAAATCGATAAAATAGTGAATTATCAACCAGCAAGTCAGATTTTAAAGAAAAGTGATTCAGAAAGATCTTCCGCAAGAAATTGTTAACCAGACAGCGGCGGCTACAGCACAAATACTGCCAGAAAAGTCTCGTGGCGTATATGACAGGGAATTAACACACTAGTTTGTTATAACCTCAAAAACTCACGTGTGCTTTAACTGCCTTGATACAGTGATAAATATAGTTACAGTGCTTATTGATATAAAAGTTGTGCTTGTAGCGCACATCCTGTATCTTTACGTGAGATAGGAGAAAATATGTTTTTCTATTGTGTGATTTAGAAAAAAACTAAAACTTCTATCAACAACAATCATGTTATGGTACTTGAACACATTTGTTTACATTATTTATTTTGGTATAATCCTGTTATGCGTGACCGTACTTGAACTAGACATAGATCGGTTTTTATTTCTTTAACCCAAACCCGTGGAAGAAATTATCGGCTTCTATAGCTTCCGGCGCATAAGGAGACTCGATTTTCTTTTTCAACCACTTCTCTTTGATCATGTCACTACCCTTCTCCGCTATCATGATAGTAGGTGCGTTGGTATTACCCCTGGTAACTTGCGGCATGATAGAGGCATCTATCACACGAAGGTTTTCAATACCGTGGACCTTTAGATCAGGACCGACTACTGCCGAACGGTCATGTTTGGGTCCCATCTTGCAAGTACCCGCCATGTGGAAAATACTAGTGGTGTAAGCTTGAGCCACGCACGCCCAGTATATGTCAGTACCAAACTCGATATGAGCGCAAGCTGGCAACGGTGTGGTAACAAGGGAAGCACCAATTTTCCTCAATGACTCTGTACGTAGGAGATTGAGAGATTGTTTTACACCTTCTACCAACCTAAGCATATCAATTTCTTCGAAGAATGTGTTGGCGTGGATCAAGGGTGTTCCTAAAATTGGATCGGTGTCATTTAACTGTATCACACCTCTGGACTTGGGGTTGAGGAGGATAGGTCTTATCATGAAACCGTTGTAGTACGCCAGAGGCAAAACGGAAGTCATCGATGTGAAGATGGGGTCGGTAAAGAAATTTTCAACATTTGCAGCGTCGATGGAGTATTGGATGTCGGGCCTGCCATATTCGTTTTCGTATTTAGTCTGGACGAAAGCGTTGGCTTGAAGAGGTCCGTTAGAAGACAACGGTCCCCTTTGAGTTTGTCTGTAGTAATTAATGTCTTGTTCGATTTGATCGATTTCTGCGCTGGTAGCTGTGTAATTGGTCAAGGCAAACACGACACCGTCAATAGTAGTGTGGTCGTGTAAGTTGTGACCTACAGGTAAATCTTTGATGACTTGAATTCCGCGCTCTTGAAGATGTGCCGCTGGGCCTACGCCACTCAACATCAACACTATGGGAGAATTTAAGGTTCCGGAAGATACAATTACTTCCTTTCTTGCTACCGCTCTCTTAAGTTTGTTGTTCTGTATGTATTCAACTCCCCAAGCTTGTTTTGTCTTGGGATCGATCAACACTCTGGTTACTTGAGCTTGAGTTCTGATAGTAAGATTCTTCCTCTTCGTTCTGATCGGTCTGATCCAGGCAGTATTAGTACTGGCCCTTTTACCGTTGTTTAGTGTGAGTTGTAATAGAGAGGCACCTAAAACTTGTTCGGTATTCGAGTCCACGTAAGGAAGTCCTAATTCCAGATATCCCTTGATCATAGCAATAGTATTAACGTCCTGGTAGGGGGCTTGCTGAACCGTTTGGTATCCATCGAAACCGTGATAATGCTTATCGGCTATTTCAGGTTGCAAGTTTCTTTCGGCCTTTTTGAAGTAGGGAAGTACTTTGTGGTATCCCCATCCGTAATTGCCCATTTCTTCCCATTCGTCGTAGTCCCTGGGGTGGCCTCTGATGTAGATCATGTAGTTGATTACGGAAGTGCCTCCCATCACTCTTCCTCTGAACCAAGGACATCTTCCTCCTTCTCGGGCCAAGCAGCTGTGTGGTGAGGGTTGCGTCATGTAACCCCAGTCGATGCTGGATCGTTGGAGAACTGGAGCAAAGGCAGGTACATCGGCTACTTCGGGTTCTTCTGTTCCGGCTTCCAGAAGTAGTACCTAGAACAAAAAGGAATAATTAGTACTGAAGGAATGATACACTACAAAATAAAATTCAAATTTCTTAGTTAATCAAGATTTTTGTTTCATTTCATTGATTATTGATACACTATACAATTGTGAGTCTTAAATAACGCACCTTACATTTTTTATGTATTTTAAAATTTTGTGTGTAGTGTTCTAGTGGACCGATTTTGATATTTTTTTTAAACAATTTGTAAGTTATTTGACTTTTTAGTATCTCGTTCTAAATTAAAAATGAAAGTTACCATATGTCAATTATACGATGGAAAACAAAATGTTCAAATTTTGGTGGAAGTTTGTGCACATATTACAAAACTTAAAACCATCTCTACTAGAGTAAACGTCAATAAACAATTATAATTTTTGACTTTTCAATGACAGTTACATTACAAAAACAATAAACACTATTTTATAAATATGTTGATGAGGACCCAAAATCAGTGCTAATAAAGCAGTGCCGCTTGATAGCTTCAAAACTGAAATAGATTAGATTTTAGGTTTGGGTGTCACTTAGTTATCATAGTAACTAAATAATCAATTCGACCAAAAATCGAAAAATACATTTTAATATAATTTTTATTGTTGTCGATCCAATAATATATAATGTGTTCTTTTTTTATAAATTGGATTAGGATCGAAAGAAATCAACAGAAGTCCTTTGTTTTAAATTTGTCGACGTTTCGCAAAATTTATTTGCATCTTCAGGACACTACAAAGTTAAGAGAGCAAAAATTACAATCAAATAAAAGTTTTTCAAAACTTAACAAACAACCTAAAAATACATATCAGTGGAATTCCACATGATATATACATTGGTAAAACTCCCTAATGTTAACAATTAAATAAAAATATATATATGTTACTCACATTTAAATCTGATCTTTCTTAGTCATATCCATTAATACACGGATGGTATAGAGGGGAGTGGTATATATCCTTTTTCTTTTAAAACACATAACACACTTACATAAGTTTCTTTTTTCAACTGTTCTTTATCTCCAGGTAAAAATTATATTAGTATTTTATCAACTAGAATTAGTTGCTCTCTGTATACGGTCCACGTAGGTACATCTGCACTGCTTGTCTGTGAAAGAAAAAGATTTTCGTGATATTTTTCTATACATAATTGTGTTATATGTTTTTTTTTATGTAAGTGTGTTATGTGTTTTAAAAGGAAAAAAGGAATATATACCACTCACCTCTATACCATCCGTGTATTAATGGATATGACTAAGAAAGTCCAGATTTAAATGTGAGTAACATATACATATATTTTATTTAATTGTTAACATTAGGGTAGTTTTACCAATTGTATATGTGTGGAATTCCACTGATATGTATTTTGGGTTGTTTGTTAAATTTTTGAAAAAACTTTTATTTGATTGTAATTTTTGCTCTCTTAACTTTGTAGTGTCCTGAAGATGCAAATAAATCTTGCGAAACGTCGACAAATTTAAAACAAAGGACTTCTGTTGATTTCTTTCGATCCTAATCCAATTTATAAAAAAAGAACACATTATACATTTTAATTATTTGATTTTCAAACACATTTTGGTGTGGAATTTTCTTACCGAATACCACACGAGGTCAAATTAAATCCGGAAATTTTTTCGAGCTCATGAGTATTTTGAAAATTATCCCGAATCGAAGACGATTTCCGGAAATAATTTGACGTCTAGTGGTATTACTAGTGATAATATTATGTTTTTTAACAAAAAAATAAAAAAAATCAATTTTTTTTCCAAAAATTATAATTTTTTCTTTCGCGAAAAAACCTCATAGACATATTTCGGGGGTCGAAATATACTACCCCTAAAATATTTGCTCTTATTTAAGACTCACCCTGTATATAAATTTAATTTAGTAGAAATAATATATTAATTAACGTGAGATATACTACTAATTTTGATATATGCTCAAAGTCCTAACATTTTACCAGGTAATACTCGTATACATATATACATATAAATCTGTAGTTAAAAAGAAAATAAATACACTAATAAAGATAAAATAAGAAATCTAACAATATAACAAATGTAACAATTGACATAAAAAACCAGTAGAAAAATAATATGCTGTTGTTCTTTACGGGTCTACTAAAACTAAAATCAATAATGCGTTCCCAGCAGAATAGGACGACGCAGGTCCTTTTTTAAATATTAAAATTTTATATTATATGCTTCCTAAGCTTTTATAGGAAATTTCGAAAATGGCACAAGCGAACTTTTTAGTATCGAAAGAGTTTTACTATATCGTAAATAATACTGATGATATCAAGAAAGTGCATAAACAGCAGACTCTTTTTTATAACTCTGAAAGCATTTGCTGATATAATTTCACTTACAGCGAATAAATAAACCTGAAATAAATGTGAAACTAACATATTTATAATTCAGTTTTGACACACATATATACTGTGTAACATAGAAATTGCAACACACAGTATATGTTTAACTATATTTATCTAGTGCCCCCGCCAAATCGAGCACAGCCGTACCATCCTTTTCTCAAAGGTATCAGCGGCACTTTTGACCACCCTGTAACTTCGTTGTGGATAGAACAAGAATATTAATTTTCACTATACAAAAACTATGAGGACATACTATAGCTGGTTAGATTACAAAATAATATATACCTCGTTAATTATACCTCATAGTTTTTACACATTATCGCTTGTCAACTTTCTTTAATTTCGACATTGACTCACTGACACATCATCAAAATTCTAAGGTACTTCTAGAAGTTACAAACTTCAAATTCTGAATTTTAGGTAGCTTTAAGCCTATGAAGAAAGGAAAAAATAAAAAATCACGAAATATCCTTATGGAGCAAAATAAAACACTAAATCACCACAATACACCAAAAACACTTTTACTTTTACATTGGACGCGCGTTTCGCTAACCATGTTAACATCATCAGCAGATAATTAAGACATATAGAGTCTGCTTATCTAGATGATGCTAACATGTCAAGTCTCAACACAATTCTTCCACTATAAAAAGTTGTGATATTTCATGTAAAACCAAGTCAGTTTATTTTATTTGTCTTTTTTAAGCACTTATTCAACAGTTTTGTTATAAATTGTTAGTATATAAATATTTGTCATCTTTATTTCTGTAATAATTATAATGATTTGGCAATTGCACAGCACCATTATTAAAAAAGAATAATCTACCATATTTCGATTACTAAGTAAATCTAAACGTTATTTAAATAGTATAGAACATCATATCGTGCAATTGCCAAGTCATTATAATTGTTACAGGATATAATATATTACAGAATAAATGAAACTTCTTTACGCTCGCTGGGAGTAAAAATTCATAACCGTGACATGAAACGCAACACAACAGGCGAGACGAAAAATGGCCAAGGACAGCCTCAAAATGAAAATTTTATCCAAAAATTATTTTTATTTACTACACATAATAACTTTAATCTACGACAATGTCATTATGACACATTTAACATTGTCATTTGGATGTCATTATGGCTTTCATAATAGCACTAGTGCTATAATGAATTCATAATAACACGCAAATTTTAAAGACACAATTAAAAAATGTACCTAAATACGTTTATTTATATATTATATTAATTATAATACCAGTAACCATTGGTTAAATTAATTCCAGACGATGACAGGTAAATTGAATTTTTAGAAAGTAAATTTATTTCCTGAGTGCTTGAACTTATTGAAGACCCATCATTGCCAGAAATGTTATCCAAAATATTACATAACACTTTTTTCTTATTTTCTTTGGAATTTTCTATATAGCTCTCTGCCACTGTGTTAGAGCGCCAACCATAATGTCTTTTAACAGTTAATAAATCCACTCCTGAATCTGCAAGCAACGCAGACGATCTACGGAAACAATGTCCAGTGTATTGTTGTGGATTTGGAAGACTTAGGAACAATGCTATTTTATACGGCATTTTCCCTAAAGTATTAATGCCCACGGGTTGCCTAATACATTTTCCATTTCTGTACCCCACAAAAAATCGAGTATGCTCTGTGTTGCTTGGCCGCATAGCTATATATCTTCGAACCATTTCCACCATATTTATTCCTTCAACATTCCCTTTCGTTATAAAAAAAAATCTCGTGATATCTTTGTTTTCGTAAATGGAATAATGACATGAATGCATTGTCCTTCATCTTTAACATTTTGCAGCTGCATATTTGTCAACTCGATACGCCGCGCCGGCAGGCTCCCGCAAGTCCCACTATCAATGGAACTTTTGTCAGGAAATAAGTTTTATCATCAGCTTCCAACAAAAAACGAGTTATGGTTTGGTTTGATTTGAATTTTCTTTTCTTAAAACTCTCGATTTTTTTTATCGAAATCCTTCGGATTTTTTTTAGAAATGCAATTAAATGGATATACTTACTAATATCTGTATTTTTCTTCACTGATATAACTGAACGTAGCATGGAATAATATACCCAAAATGATGAAGCCTTCCTATGCTTTGAAAGATGTTCAAAATCTGCTAGAAGAACCTTTTCGTTACTACTATTCTTGATTCCTTTCCCTTTACACCAATCTTCAAGTTTTACATAGGCTTGCTCGTACGTTTGTCTTGATTTTTCGGGAAGTAGGGAATCGACAACGTTTTGCGCAATGCCTTCAATATCCGAAGGGACAGTTTCAGAATCAGAATCAACCATATTAATATTATTTTTTGCTTTTTGCTAAAACTGAACGTTTAACACAAAATTGAACATGAATTGATGAAACTAACTCGAGGCTTAACGTTACACGCGTTTCATTATGATGTTCGTATCGAACTTGTATCATTAATAACTATAATCCATTTTTTTGTTATAAAAAATAAACGGTTATATTCTGTATTAAAAAGTATGCTCAAAACAATCGATTTGAACTTTTTAACTTTAATACATTTTGAAAAGCCTGCGGCTATATTTTTTCATAAAGCTGTACCACGCAGCACCGTTTTTTTAATCATTTTAGCCATTGGATGTAGCGCTAAATGTACAGTAGTGCAGTAAATTGCTTATTGGGTTTATCCCATGCCGTGCTTTTTTTGGATTTATTAGTAGATTCCCGATATTTTTTAACTTTTTTTAGTTCCATACCAATTCGAGGTTATAAAAAAGTTTCGCAGTTGATGAAATTCCGCGTTGCCTCGTAACTCGTCCAACTTTTTTCCCAACTATTTCAAATGTTGGTTTTGCTATTAGTTTTGTTTCCAACCGCGTTTGATTTTTTCATTCTCCGCATCGACTGTTTAAAACTACACTCACCGGCAAAAAAAACCGGCCAGTAAAAACTAGTCCCAATTTCAAAGTTGGATTTCTCGCGAACCACTCATTGGATTTTGATGATTTTTTTTTAAATTGTAAATTAATTCCTTCTTAACGGATGCTACGTCAGAAATTTTTATTCACAATTTATTTTGAGCACATACAGGGCACAACAATAAGACGAAGTTTTTGCCCGAACTTTGTAACACCCTGTAGGATGCAGCAGCTGTAGTTGCTATTCCTAAATCAAATCACATTGTATCCTCATCTTTTGTGAGCATTTTGTTTTTTTAATCACGACATTATCTCCGTTTGTATTGGAGCTACGCTGCTTTAAAACAAACGCCTCGAAAAAAGATTTAGTCCAATGCTCAATATCCCAATTCACATGTAAACGCGCAAACTGAAGACGTGCTCGACGATGTCTTGGAAGTAGTTGGGGTCCTGTGGTAGGCCTCCTTGCAGACAAGCTATTTTCTTTTAGTCTTCGTCGGTTTGTTCTCTCACTGACTTGAGTTCTACGCACATATGTAGCAGATGTTGATTCTGAAACGCTGTAATTCTAGGATTTTGTAAAGTATTCAGGACAATAAAGCGGTCGTCAATTGCATTTTTCTTCCGGAACCCACTCGCCTGGTGAAATTTTCCGTTTCCATATACCGATTCCAGGCATCCCGGACTGTTGTTCGAGATATACCCAGGGTATCGGACACATAACGTTGATTTCGGCCATCCATACGCCACAGATAATGGCATTTTTTAATTTGACAACCGTTGTTGTCATATTGCAAATACTCATAAATCCCTTTTCGTCTAGGTCGCCTTGATTATTTACAGATAAAACTTTCTGACTGCGAAGCATTTTTCCGAGACGTTCGTTTTAAAGCAGCGTATCTTCAATAAAAAGACAGATAATGTGTAACGTGATCAAAAAAACAAAATGCTCACAAAAGATGAGGCTACAATGTGATTTGATTTAGCAATAGCTACTACAGCTCCTACACCCTACAGGGTGTTACAAAGTTCGGGCAAAAAACTTCGTCTTATTGTTGTGCCCTGTATATGCTCAAAATAAATTCGGAATAGAAATTTCTGACGTAGCATCCGTTAAGAAGGAATTAATTTACAATTTAAACAAAAATCATCAAAATCTAATGAGTGGTTCGCAAGAAATTCAACTTTGAAATTGGGACTAGTTTTTAGTGGCCGGTTTTTTTTGCCGGTGAGTTTAGTTAGTAACTAAGGATCAGAAGAGGACCACAATAGATCTGAAAAGCTCAGATCAGGCCGATAGCCACCTCCAAGTATCAGATTTAATCTAACTGACAATCTAAAGAATTGAGATTTAAACACTTAAAAATACCTTTTTTTCCTAAAAAAATATATCTTGGAAACCTAAAAAAATATAACGAGGAAAACTCGAGGAACAAATTACGAATAGGGACGAACTACAAGGTTTTAGACGAAATCGATCAACTACAGACGCAGTATTTATCATTAAAAAAATTAAAGAAAAAGAAATAGAGTTTAATATACCAGCCTATACAGGGTGGAGCACATCATTCGCCTCTGTTGATTATACGAAAACGGAAAGAAGTAGAAACAAAATTTTTTGTGCGTATATGTAGAGAGTCAATATGCATAATTTAAGATTATTTTCAAATGTACAGGGTGTGTCAGAACTAAGATCCATACCAAAGTTATATTTTTTCTTATGGAACACCCGGTATTTTATTTCATTTTTGGATTCTTGGGCATAAAATAAAGCATTTATTATAAGGGTTTAATATGTTTCAATACTTTGGTTTTTAAGATATTTAAAGATATTTAAATATGCATGCTATAATAAAAGAGTTTGTCAACATTACTGTACATTACTTTTCAGAGTTAATTCTTGTACTGACTTTGAAGCCAGAGAAATAAACCTTAGTAAAAAATTTTATTAATTCCTTAAATGTATACAGGATTATGAGAAGGCTTTCGACTCTATAGAGCTGCACGCCATCCTCGATGCCCTACAAAATGCCAGAATAGACTGCAGATACTCGGGCATAAGATCATCTATTTACATATCAGCTACAATGATTATCAAACTGGATGACATAAATATCACAAATAAAATTAAAATGGAAAGAGGAGTTCGATAGGGAGATACTATTTCCCCCAAACTTTTTACACTGGCCCTGGAGGACGTATTTAAGAAGCTGAACTGGGACAAGAAGGGTATTAAGGTAGATGGTGGGATGCTTAACCACTTGCGCTTCGCTGATGATATCGTTGTCCTGGCCTCATCGTTGGAAGAACTTTAAACAATGCTCGAACAACTTCACCACACATCTGCGCAAGTAGGTTTAAAAATGAATTTGTCTAAAACTAAAACCCTAAATGAAAATGAAG